CAATCAATAATAAAACAATAAAGGGTTTAAGTTTCAACTTTATTCAATGATTAATTAAAGTTAATATTAATGTTATATTAGACTATAATACAGATTTGCATACTCCATGTATATACAAAAAAAAATTCCCCATTTTTATTATTTTTTATTAAATTTACAATTAAACCTTCTACATAAAAGATTGTGAAATATAAAAATGAAAATATATATATCCTGCTATACATATATTTTTATCAACTTCATTTGATATACATACATTTTTTCCATTCTATTAAAATTTCACCATGTAAAAATTGTGGCCACCTAGCTTGTTTTTTAATTAAAGATTGTTGTTGATAAATTAATTGTTCAAGAGGATGTACTTCTTCTTCTGATTGATTATGTGAGGTAGAAGGATTCCATGGAACAGGATCTAAGCACACAACATATGTTTCTTGATTTTGTGAATATACTTTTTTCCCCCATTGATTAGAATTCAAAATTTCACTTATAATCTCATATGCTTTTTCACCCCGAAAAATACACTTATAATTCCCTTTTGTTCTAGAATAATAATGAATATTCCCAGCAAAAATAGAAAAAAAAAGACTCTCAGGACATGGTACAGATACTAATTTCTTTCCCATATACCTAAAATTTAAAACCAATTTTTTGTGTATTTCCATAATCAAGATCTCTTTGAATTCTGCAATAATATTAGTTGGCAATCTATCAAGATCTTGACGTTGATTATATTGTTGTATTATTCTATTGTGTTGCATTAAACCACGTGAGCTTTTAAATTTTTTTCCACAAATAGAACATAAAAAGCAAGTATTTGATGAAGGAGGAGGTATAGAGAGATGCATAATAGTGGAGTGTAAGGAAATATTGACATGCTAACAGGAGAAAATAATAATTATTTAATAAATAAAAAAAATAGTTACTAATATCCAAATAAATTTTTTAATCACCATTTTTTAGAAAGAAAACTCTTTACTATTATTAATATAATTGAAGTTATTGGTTGTTTAGTATTTGGAAAACTATGCAGCTGATGCTTACAATAATAAACTCGCGTTTTAAGTTTTCTAGTATTTGCAGCTGATGCCCACAATAATAAACTCGCGTTTTAAGTTTTCTTTGTTATTCTATGAAAAATATAACTGTTTGATAAAGTTATTTAGTAAATTTTTAAATCGTAATTGCGATGTTATTATTTTTTCTTACTACTAGAATCCAATGGGTTTTTTCAAATCCAATGGGTTTTTACTTAGTGTTTTGCTTTTAACAAGGGTAAACTTTAACGACATTGTCCCTGTCAACCAATCAAAGCCAGAGAATTGTGTCGTACGATGACCTTATTTGGTTTCAATTCTGCAAATCGGCCCATATGCAAAAAAATTTTAATTACGTTTGGTGCCTGTATTAGTTAATGATCGACATTTACCCGTTGTATCGAGATACTTTTATTATGCTTGAATATATAGATTAGTGTTAGTTGCCGAAACTATTTTGAAGAAGCGAAAGTCAAAACTAAAATTAAAATTTATATGTCAAAACTAAATCAAAAGTCAAAGGTCAAAGGTCAAAACTAGTTTCGACTTATGGCAAAACCTTTTGACTTTCGCACAGTTGCGAAACTCTCTAGTTTTGGAAACCAACATTAATATAGATTAAAAAAAAAAAACCGCTAAATCGAATATATATATATTAATATGAAAAATCTGTTAAATCCGTTAAATCGAGATAAAATAATTATAGAAAGATTTGGTTTTGAAAATTTATCCGTTAAACTCCTAAATCCGCTAAACCGAGATCCGCTAAATCGAGATACACTGTGTTAATGTATAATTTATTGTATTTCTTTCGATTTTTATAAATAAACATAAATATTAAAAATTTTCATATAATAAGTATATCAAAACGAATAATCTAGTAAAGATTGATATTACTTATGATTCTTTATTATTACTATATCGAACAAGAATTTCCCCAAGACTAGAGTGTTTATTTCTATTTAAGAAGCGGAATTATTACACAAATAAAAAAATACTTATTAAATAAATGAGAAAAAAAAATAATATCGTTTTATTTATTTATATAATTTTTTTATAGAACAATAAATGCAATTTAAAGAAAAACCACACCCTATAATAAACTCTGTAATCCGGTAAAAATTGCATCTGATAGTAGTGACAGCAACATTTTGCAATTACTAACATGCACAGATGCACAGATTATTTATTGATCAAGATGAAATATAAATAAATCATTAATTATGCTATTCACATTTCGTCTTAGTTTCATGTTTGTTTTATCAACGTTTTCAGTTGTTACATTCTATCTTTTGTTTTTTTTTGATATTATTTCATGTTTGTTTATCAACATGTTAATTTTATTTATATATATATAGCACTGAAAAAAAAACAAAACTTTAGTATTAGTATTAGTATATATTAGCCAAACCGGTACTAACTGTATTATCACGAATTATTTTTAAAAAAAAATCCGTGATTCCGTTTCATTATTAATAATTCTCTGATTAATTAAAAGGTTTTTAACTCTTTTTAAAAACATGAAAATAACAACAACAACAACAATAATAATGGTAGTGCTAATTTTTTGGTAAATACATGAATTAAAAAAAATAAAATATTATGCTGGAGCAAAAGACAACAATCCGAGCAATTTAACTAAAATGCTCCAACAACATCCACCACCGTCACCAGGCCATTATTACCCAACAGCAGTTCAGCTTCAAGATAATATGCCGAAAATAACGGCTGGACCAAGTAACGCTGTTATAGCAGATGAAAATTCAAAAACTAAAAACTCGCCATTGTTGGGTAATTCATCTAGATACAACAATCATAAGGCAATATCAGCAGTAGAAGATATTTTCATATCGAGTGAAGGTGATGACTACTGGTTTCCAAGATCAGGGATAAATTCTTGTTTGAATTAGAAATTTAATTAAACTACTTATTTTTTCTTTCTTTCAAAATAAAAAGTGCCTCTCATTTTTTACAAATTAAAACTATTATTTTATTATTACATTTCATAAATGTAAAATCAAATTGTCTTTACATTCATGTGAGTTGTGTTTTCCCAAATTTTTGACTTTGAAGTTAAACTAGGCGTAATAGTAATACGCAATAATATTGATAATGTGCTTGAGTGTTTGGATCAATATTGGTACTTGAGCAATAAACTAATGTTGTACGAAAAAATTGTTTGTTGCACATCGTTTCAATTCTTCGCAAGAAAATAATGTAACCGTTATTCTCAAAAAATCTCCATGTTCATTAAGCATCAAGTCGAATTTTATATTTTATATTTTATATTTTTATATAATGTCATATGTTAGACTATTATCATTGTCATCACCAGAAAAAGGAATTTGTATTTAAAATTTATAGTGAAATACTCAATAATGCAGTGGTTAATTCTGATAGAGAAAGTAGAAAAGAATATTTTATTTCATTAGTCAAAAAAAAAACAAGAAGCTTGCTGAAAATGAAAAAGAATTTGGATTTAAGCATTGGTATACAACACTTATACAATACCATACCATACATTCTGCAAGAGTTATACCATACTGAACGTCCCTATACTCACTAATAATTGAAAAAATAATCGTGTAGTTTGCCTTTTTTTTTGTCGACCAATATTCTTTTCTCCTTGTTCTTTCTTCAAAATACTTCCAATAGTGCTGTAATTCTTGGGTTCCATAGTAGATCTGATATAAATTATTATTTTTATATAGGGATAGTTCTATATATCACTTAACAAATGTGACCATTATAAAACTAATTGTGATGATAACTAAATTTTGATCACTGAAATTTTTGGTTCACTTTGTCCATATTATTATTGCTAAACTTTAATAAACAAAAATATATAAAGTTATATATACCATATGAAAGCTTGCAATATTTTCACCTTTTCAACCACTCATAAAGTTTATAAAGGTAATATTGGAAAAACAATCTTAGTTTGAAGTAAAAAGTAATGCTGTTTTTGAATAAGTATAGCTTGTCAAAGAGAGCCTCTATTGATATGAGAGAGGGTTCACTAAAAATCTATAATGACATAGTCTTATTTTTGATTAATAATGATGTCTGAAATTATTATAAAAATAAAATGATTAGTTTATTACACAGATCTGAATTTCTGTTTTACATATAAATATTAATATAAATATTAATATGGATGTAACAAATTGTCTGACTGCGATTCATAGTTTACAGCGACCCAAATTTTGTTCAATGTAACAAATATTTACATTGTAACGAAAAATCTCTTTGCAGTGAACATATTATAAGTTTAATGATGTAACGAGAGGTTTGATTTTAATTTAAATTTCAATAACTAACAGAAGTTAAAAAATTCTTGAAAATAAATTTCATTACATAGAGTTTCATATGGGTGACTATTTTTTTATTTGCCTCCAAAAGATAACCTTTTTCTTTTTTATTATTATTTTTACCAATATGAACACGCCCGTTTATTTATAAATCATAATCCTGTTAACATGTTATTTCCACTATTATTACTTGTATTAATATGTATTTTATATAGAACACTTTTAATGCTCGCTCACTCTATGTATAGTGGTTAAAATTTGAACTGGGTTATATAGTTCACCGTAAGTCATTTCCACTGTAGCGAAACTCAAATGAATACACGCAAGAAAAAAAAATTTTATTAGATGAAAAAAGTCAAATTATATAGAATGGATGTAGCCCTAATATGTAATTGGACTTTGTCCATTACGGCAATTCTTTAAAATAAAACCATGCATATCACCACAAGCCAGTAAACCAACTAGTTGCTTAGTTTCTTAAACAAAAATGGTTCGAAAATAGCTGTATTCTCGTATCAATGAATTTAAGGTCTTGTGTTGGTTTTGAGTCAATAAATAAATCTGTCGTATCGCATTGATCTTTGGTCGTGTGACCTTAACTATTAAATTCTTAGCTTATATGTTAGATTTATTATAAATTTAACATAATAAAAAAAAAAAGGTTATTTTACATCTCTTTGAAAAGAATGTTTTTCAATTTTTTTGAATGTCCAACTCGTAATAGATATAATACCATTATTCATGGATGACCCGCAGCTATTAATGAGTTATTAAAAAGTACATAACTAAAAGAAACAGAATTATCATCTTTAATGGATTTCTTATAAATATTGGAATCGTCCAAAGAAATCCTTTAGTCGACCATTTTAGTTGACCATTTTAATATTTAGTCGATTTTTTATAGTAATAGTAATAATATTTCGTTTTTTTTTTTTTTAATTTGCAAATTACGAACTCATTTCCGTTTAAATCGTTCACTTTTTCAAAATACTTCCACACAAAACCATGCGTTACGATTCGTTTTTTCAAAGGTCTTCTGGAACCACTGCTTAAATCATTAGAACTTGAAGCCAGTGAATTATTGGACCTTGTATTGGAAGTGTTTATTTATTTACATGTAAAATTATCATCAACAGCACACTACTGTTGTCGTCATCATCATATTGATGGTATTGATACTCTTCCGCATAGAAATTTTCCATTTTGAATGATAAA